TACGTATGAGTATGCATATACGTGTACATGTACATATACACGTAACATACATTTGCATACACTCATAGGTATATATGCAGATTCCTGCACATACACATAAACAAAAACATCTTCATATACATCTGCACAGCAAACTACATATGCACAAACATAAACATGAAAACATAATACCAATAAACCTACACAAATACAAAATCTGATTCTTATTCGTACCCATACACGCATGCATACACATATGCATAAACCTAGACATATACAGGAATACACATATATGTCCCTTCACGATCACATACTCATATATACACATACACCTGCATATACATATACGTGTAGGTATACCTGTGCATATACGTGTACACATGCATATCCTATACATACACATACAAACATACATATGCACACACATCCATTTACGTATACATACACGTTTACATATACACATACAACGACGTACACATACACCTACACATAGACCTACACGTACACATACACATACACATACACACCCACATAAACATATACTTATACCTATACCTATACCGATACATATGCATATACATATAGGTTATGTACTAGAACCACGAGTGCGTTTCGAACACGCTTCGCGCGCGCTCATGTTCTAGGAAACCCCAGCCCTCGACAAGCGTACGACTGCATGTACGTCCCCTGCAGCCGTTCCCCCGCCCACCTGTTGGGGGTCTCTCTGGGGATCTCTTCAAGCTGCATGGAGGCGCATTACATTACATTACGTTGCGTCACATCATATGACACTACTATACCATACCATACTGTGCATTACATTCTACTACATTACGCTACAGTACATTACATTAGACTACATTACATTACATTGCCCTACCTTAGGTGACCTTCCATTACATTACATGACATTGCATGACCTTACATTACATTACATTACAATACATTACATTACAACCAAGTGTATCTGTATACGTGTGAAATACGTGTATGGAAGCATACATGTATACCTATGCACGCATCTGCGGTACGTGCGTATATAGATAGAAGGAGAGAGTGATAGGAGAGAGAGAGGAGGAAAAAAACGAAACAAGAGAAGGGACAGAAGAGATGTAGAGAGAGTTCGAGCGTCCGGTGAGGGAGCCCGGGCCCCCGAAATCGGTGGTCCATCGCGGCCTCCCATCATTGGCATCCCAGCTGGCCTCCCATCGAGGCGGCCACTCATCGTGACCCCCCATCGTGGCCCCCAACCGTGGCCCCTCATCGTGGCCCCCCGTCGTGGCCCCCCCTCGTGAGCTGCGTCAGACCGTTTTTAGGGTTTCTGCCGCACGGGCGTCATACTCTTCACAAAATGATCACCCAGCCCTCCGACGCCTCGACTTGTTCGAGCCGCTGGCCACCAAGGCTCTCGACCCATTCCTGGAGCGAGCCGTTCATCCTGTGCCCCCTTTTCATTGTCGTGGAGCCCAGAAACGGTCCCACCTCATCCCCGTCACCTATCCGCCACCGTGCCCCCTGGCACGTTGAGGCGTGGTAGAATGCCGAGAGCTGTCTGGTAGGGCGTCTGCACTGTTCTACGAGATCCCGCCTCCTCTCGTCGCATTCGCGCCTTGTCAGGCTCCCGTCAGCTCAAGAGCCCAAGAGGTCCCCGAAAGGGCCTCAAGACGACCCAAGAGGGCACCATGATGGTCCAAGAAGCCTCCAAGACGGCCCAAGAAGGCCTCCGGAGAGACCCAAAATGGCCGCAGAAGGCCCTTCGACGGCCCAAGACGGCGCCAAGATGGCGCCAAGACGCCCCAACGGCCCCAAGACACCCACCAGACGGCCATGAGGGCCGTCTGACGCCCTGGGGGGCCATTTCTGAAGACTCTCTGGGCCGTCCAGGGGCTCTTTTGGCCCCTGTTTTGGGTCTCTGAGACTCCTCTTGGGGCTCTCCGAGGCCATCTGGGCGCCGTCTAAACGCCTGCGACACCCTTCGGAAGCGAACAAGCGAGATCTTCAAAAACGTATGGTTTCTCATGTGTTCTTCCATGTTGTTTGGCCTCCTGGGGATCTCTGTGAAGCCGCTAAAAAGCCTCTGGAGGGCCTCTGGTACGGGCCGTTTGGGCGGCTGTATTGGGCCTCAGGGCCTTCCGTGGGGCGTCTTGGGCTATCCCGGGGCGTTCGTGGCCCGTCTGAGCCCCGAGCCGTCTTCGGAAGCTTTCTGGCGCCGTTGGGGCTGCCTTGGGACTCTGGGGAGCTGCTCGCCGGGCTCTTGGAGCCCGCGGGGACGCCTTCTAGAGGCGAGAGACGCTCTTCGGAAGCGAACAGGGGAGATCTTCCAAACAACGGGTTTCCCGCTGATTTGTCCGCTTGGGAGCCCCTGGAGAGCGTCTATCAGGGCCGCTCGGGGGCCATGTTTGGGCCTCTGGGCCTTCCGCTAATGAGCCAGGGCGTGGGACATCTCTGAAGCCTCGTCGGGCCTACGGGGGGTCTCTGGGAAGCCGCCTGCCGGCCCTCCCGAGGGCATCTTCAAGGGCCTCTCGAGCACCTTTTTTAACGCCCGCGGCAAAGGACTTGGGGGGACCGCCTGGGCCGAGGGCTTCTCGCGGGGTGCGCGCGGTGGGCGCGGTGCCTGCTGCGGCCTTCGCTCGCCCGCGCCGCGCGCCCGGAGGCGCGCGCCAGCAGTCCCGGTGGCGCCCAGGCGCCGCCCGTGCGCACAGAGAGGCGCGGAGCACGACTTTCGCAACCCCGTGGCGCCCTCCTCCCTCTCCTCCTCCACCATCCTTCTCCCTCTCCTCCCTCTCCTCCTCCTCCTCCTCCTCCTCCTCCTCCTCCTCCTCCTCTCCTCCTCCTCCTCCTCCTGCTCCTCCTCCTCCTCCTCCTCCTCTCCTCCTCCTCCTCCTCCTGCTCCCCTCCTCCTCCTCCTCCTCCTCCTCCTCTCCTCCTCCTCCTCCTCCTCCTCCTCCTCCTCCTCCTCCTCCTCCTCCTCCTCCTCCTCCTCCTCCTCCTCCTCCTCCTCTTCCTCTTCCTCTTCCTTTTCCTCCTCGTCCTCCTCCTCCTCCTTCTCCTCCTCCTCGGCGCCGGCCGTTCACGCAGAGCGGCGCGGAGGGTGCACCAAGGCACCAGCGTGGGCCAAAAAACAAACGACACCACCCCACCTACGGCCCCACGGGGCTCAGCGTATGCCAGGAAAGCCGGCGTGGGCTTCTAGGTGGTATGCGCTGCGACCCCCGATGAGCCGTAGCGCAACATGGAGGGCCGCAGGTGGGGTGGTGCCGCTTGCTTTTTTTAACTGATTCGAGAGTCTTCAGACGCCCTCCGGAAGCGAACATGCGAGATCTTCGGAAGCGTAGTTTTTCTGGTGTTCCAAAGCTTTGACCTCCTGGGAATCTCTTGGAAGCCGCCTGGGGACCTAGCGAGGGCCCCCGAGGCCGTCTCTTGGAAGCCGCCTGGGGGCCCCTTGAGGGCCTCTGTAACCATCTTGAAGCCATCTGGACCGTCTGGTGACGTGGCGAACGGTCTAGACGCTGTCTTGGCGAGGGCTAGGGGGCCCCCATGGGCCCCAATCTGGCCGGCCATGAGGGTCAGAGGCAGGTGTCCCGGGAACCAAGCCGCGTCCCACGGGATACATTCTATATATAAATATGTGTACATATATATATATATATATGTATATATATGTGTGTGTGTGATACCAATCTAAGTCTTTGAAGGGCTATAGGGCTATAGGGCTATGGGGCTATTGGGCTATAGGGCGATATGGCTATGGGGCTATAGGGCTATGGAACTATAGCGCTATAGGGCCATAGGGCAATGGGTCTATAGGGCTCTAGGGCTATAAGGCTATAGGGCTATAGGGTTATAGGGATATGGGGCTCTGGGGCTCTGGGGCTATGGGACTATAGGGCTATAAGGCTATAAGGCTATAGGGCTATAGAACTATGAGGCTATGGGGCTATAGGGCTATAGCGCTATAGGGCTATAGGGATATAGGGCTCTTGGGCATTAGGGCTGCAGGGCTATAGGCATATAGAGCTATGGGGGTATAGGGCTATAGGGCTATCGGGCTATCGGGCTATCGGGTTATTCGGCTATAAGGCTATAGGGCTATAGCGCTATAGGGATGAAGGGCTATAAGGCTATTGGGCTATTGGGCTATTGAGCTATAGGGCTACAGGGCTACAAAGCTATGGGGCTATAGGGCTATTGGGCTATAGGGCTATAGGGCTATAGGGCCAAAAGGCTATAGTGCTGTAGGGCTATCGGGCTAAAGGGCTATAGGGCTATCGAGATATAGGGCTCTAGGGCGACAGGGCAGGCCATACGGCTATAAGGCTATGGGGCTGTAGGGCTATAGGGCTATTGGGCTATAGGGCTATGGAACTATGGGCCGATAGGGCTATAGGGCTATAGGGCTATAAGGCACCCGGGCACCCGGGCACCGGGGCACCTGGGCACACGGGCACCCGGGCACCTGGGCACCCGGGCACCTGGGCACCCGGGCACCTGGGCGGGCCGCGGAAATCGGCGGCAAAGCTCACCTAACCACATGAACCCGCTAGCTAGGACCCCCACAGAGGCAAGCTCTGCTTGGGAATATGTATACATACACACGCGTACGCGCTGGCCGGAATAAGTAGGTAAAAACATGAATCAGGAAGGCGGATAAAGTAGATTGGGTTCAGGCCCTCGCAGAGAATAACACAACGCGGCAAAAGCATATCGGTTCTTGAAGTAGGAAGGCGCTCGAAGTAGATTGGGAGCTAGGAATCCAGAAATACCTACTTTCAACGACTGGCGTGTACATATATACTTCTTCACTGACTGGAACGTCACTCTTACAAAATACGTCCGAAACAACACTCCTGCGAGGAGGGGTTGACGGGGAGATGCACTTGAATATGGAAAACGTGCGAAATCAGACCACTTCAATAAAGAGAAATGGAAACAGCACGAGGCAGCGGGCAATATCGCATTCAACCAGAATTCTTGCCTTAGGAGAGAAATGGAAAAAGCAAGGAGAAGACACGGGGGCACGCCTTTGATTGCATCTTCCACTTGGGCGTATACTCTGCCTCAACCACGGTGTGAGTATCCCACTTACGCCTTCGGGCAATCTCTCAGGATCCTACGCAGTACCAGATCCTCGCCTTCCCCCTCGCTGCCAATCCTTCATCGGTCCAGTGTCCCTTCTTCCTCGCATGCTGGCAGACAACCGAGACTGACACACGAGGGCAACCTCACATACCAGAGTCTCCTTCAGCGGGGCTGGCAGTGACCTCGCAAGGCACGCAGACCAGCCAGACTCAAACAATGTCGCCACGGCATCGGAAGAGCGGCGGCGCCGCTCGCTCCCTCGCGCTCGCCGCCTCTTGGCACTCGTCCGGACCGCCACACGGGTGCGAGGGCGCCGCAGCCCCGCAGCTCTGGGTGAGAGGCGGCTGTGAGAAATCGATCCTGCTCCCTTCTCCCTCGCTGTCCGCCGCCCTCCCTCCTCCCTCCTCCCTCCTCCCTCCTCCCTCCGCCCTCCTCCTCCTCCCCCTCCTCCTCCTCCCTCTCCTCCTCCTCCTCCTCCTCCTCCTCCTCCTCCTCCTCCTCCTCCTCCTCCTCCTCCTCCTCCTCCTCCTCCTCCCCTCCTCCTCCTCCTCCTCCTCCTCCTCCTCCTCCTCCTCCTCCTCCTCCTCCTCCTCCTCCTCCTCCTCCCTCCTCCCTCCTCCCTCCTCCCTCCTCCCTCCTCTCCTCCTCCTCCTCCTCCTTCCTCCTCCTCCTCCTCCTCCTCCTCCTCCTCCTCCTCCTCCTCCTCCTCCTCCTACCCTCCTCCTCCTCCTCCTTCTCCTCCTCCTCCTCCTCCTCCTCCTCCTCCTCCTGCTTCTCCTTCTCCTCCTTCTCCTCCTCCTCCCCATCCATTATTCTTATAAGAAATTCCTCCCCCTCTCACACTAGACTTATCTGCAGGGCGGACCAGGCGTTTCGCCTGAGACTTCCGCATCATTGATGACCCTGAAACTTAAAATTTGGCAGCAGCTTCACTGATGGAAGGCGGTTCCTATTCAAAAAGTTGCTCTCGCCTTAGCACCGGGCTCAATTTTTGAAAAGTTATACAAGGTGCACGCGTTGAGGGCGATTCCTTTTCAATATGTGGCTCTCGCCGTAGCGCCGCGCACATTCGTTTCAAAAAGCTGCAAGACCTTCACATATTGAGGGCGCTTCTTTTTCAAAATGTGGCTCTCGCCTCAGCGCCGCGCAGATTCGCTTTCAAAAGATTGCCAGAGTTTCACGGATTCCCATGGTCGACGTACCAGAAATGGCGTGCTGGAAAGATTCTGGACTATGAGGGTGCAACAGTTACGTTGATTCGCGGTGTTGAAGTCCCAAGAATGGCGTTCTGGCACGATTGAAGATCGTCAAGACGCAACAATCAGGTTCATCTGTGGCGATGGAGTCCCGAGAATAATGTTCTGGCATGCTTCAGGATCTTCAAACGATTTTCTTCCAACCAGGCAATTCCCTCAGTGGAATGATTCCTTGTGGGGACCTATGAAGAGGGAGCTTGGAGGGAGGGTTTATCACAACACAGTTGATGGCTCTTGGGTTTAAACTGGTCCTCCTCCTGCTCCTGCTCTCGCTCCTGCTCCTGCTCCTGCTCCTGCTCCTCCTCCTCCTCATCCTCCTCCTCCTGTTTGGGGGGGGGGGCAAAACGGCGCAGCAGGATCGTGTCCCTCCTCCTCCGCATCATCATCATCATCATCATCATCATCATCATCATCATCATCATCATCATCATCATCATCATCATCATCATCATCATCATCATCATCATCATCATCATCATCATCATCATCATCATCATCATCATCATCATCATCATCATCATCATCATCATCATCATCATCATCATCATCATCATCATCATCATCATCATCATCATCATCATCATCATCATCATCATCATCTTCATATTCAGCTTCATCTTCATCATCATCATCATCATCGTCATCATCATCATCAGCAGTAGCAACAGCATCAGCATCAGCATCAGCATCATCATCATCACCATCATCACCATCACCAACATCAGCAGCAGCATCATCACCATCATCAGCATCATCATCACCAACACCATGATCATCAACAACATCAGCATCAGCAGCACCATGATAATCAACAATATCATCATCAGCACCATCATCAACATCATCATCAGCAGCAGCATCGTAAACAGCATCATCATTATCATCAGCATCATGATCATCAAAAACATCATCATCATCATCATCATCAGCACCATCAACATAAGCATCAGCATCATCAGCAACATCATCATCACCATCAGCACCATCATCACCATAAGCATCAGCACCATGATAATCAACAACATCATCAGCACCATCATCAACATAAGCATCAGCATCATCAGCAGCATCATCATCACCATCAGCACCATGATCATCAACAACATCATCACAATCACCATCATCATTTGCATCATCATAATCCGATCATGATCATCACTAGCAGCGTCAACATCATCATCATCATCATCATCAGCATCATCATCACCATCATCATCATCATCATCATCATCCTAATCCTGTACTCCTGTCCTCCGTTTCGTTATCTTCCTGCTCTACCCGATGCAAGTGCTGCTGCAGCCTTCATCTTTTGCCCCTCCTCCCGCGCACACTGACTATCCCTCTGTGTCAGGAGGACGGAGAAGGACGACGGAGAACGAGGACGATGAGGAGGAGGCGGAGGAGGAGGAGGAGGAGGAGAGGGGAAGGCGAGGGAGAAGTGAGAGCAGCAGGAGAGCAAGAGGCAGAGCGGAGAGGGGAAAGCGAGAAAGCGAGAGAGGGAGGGAGAGCGAGAGAGAGGGGAGGCAGGAGGGGAGGGAGACAGGGGAGGGAGGGGAGGGGAGGCAGGGAGGGGAGGCAGGGAGGGAGGGAGCGAGGGGAGGAAGAGAGACAGGGGGGGCAGGGAGGAGGAGGGCCCAGGCCTCTAACGACCCGATCTGTAGATTCGAGCCGCCAGCGCCCCCTCCCCCCCCGAGGAGCGGAGGGAGCGGAGGGCCCAGGCGCGCGGAGGGGCCGCGCCGAGAGGGAGCCGCAGCCAAAGGCCGAGGAAGGAGGGAGGGGAGGAGGGAGGGGAGGAGGGAGGGGAGGAGGAGACGGAGGAGGAGGAGGAGGAGGAGGAGGAGGAGGAGGAGGAGACGGAGGAGGAAGGAAGGAGGAAGGGATTAAGACGACAGGGCCATTGGGGGCCCGAACCGCGGTCCCCCCGCTGCGGGATCGCCGCGGGGCGGGCCGGCTCCAGCCCGCGAGCCGACAGCGGCCAGGCGGACGCATCAGCCCTGACGTCTCTGGTCTCGCCGAGTACGGCCCCCCCCTCGCGACTCTGGGAGCAGGAATCCTTGCGTGGCGGCGGTGACCACGGAGCCCGCATCGCGTGCCAAGAAAAGACAATTGAGAGTGAAACGAGGAGTGGCGGTACGACAAGCTTCGGTGGCCACGTCCGACCTGTGTACCCAAATTGGGCTGCAACCGCACCTGCACCCAACCCATGGGGCAGATCCGGAACCTCCGATGTCTTTGCTCCGAGGAGTTTAGTTGCCGCAATACGCCAGATCGAATCTGACGTACAGACGATACGACAATCAACAGGCACAAGATTCAATAGGAATGCTCCAGAGTCCGTCCCCAGTCTCCTGCAGTGTTGGACGGAAGCCAGCATAGCGCCAGACGTCATCAGCTACGATACTAGCTGCGAGAAAAGCAAACGACAGCAGACAGCAGGCGAACGTACAGGCTTAGAGACAACACTACAGACAGCGTATGTACAGACAGCGCAGCAACATCAAGAAGGGAGCAGGCGTCAGGGTGGCGTTGACAAGCACGAGCCCGATACCATTAGCTACGAGATTGGCACAGCGAAGCACGAAACCAACGCCATCCGCTACGACGGTGGTGTCGAGAAGCACGAACCCGACGGCGACAGCTATCAGGAAGATGGGGCGAAGCACGAGGCCAACGTCGTCAGCTACGGGGGAGGCCACACGAAGCACGAGCCCGACGCCATCAGCTACGAGGGTGGTGCAACGAAGCACGAGTCCGATGGCAGCAGCTACGACGGTGGGGCCGCGAAGCACAAGCCCAGCGTCGTCGGCTACAGTGTGGGGACCGGTCGCCTCGTGCGAGAAGGGCCGGCAGCGGTGCGAGAAGGGCGGGCAGTGGTGCGAGATGGGTGGGCAGCGGTGCGAGAAGGGCGGGCAGTGGTGCGAGAAGGGCGGGCAGTGGTGCAAGATGGGCCGACAGTGGTGCGTGAAGGGCCAGCAGTGGTGCGAGACGGGCCGGCAGCGGCGCGAGTAAGGCCAGGAGTGGTGCGAGAAGGGCCGGCAGTGGTGCCAGCAGGGCCGGCAGTTGGAGCAGTGGCGACAGAGTGTGGTTACGACATGTCGTCACCTACAGGCTGGCACGCAGAACGCCGTGCCCGAATCATGTACAGTGTCCTGGCAGGTTTGCACACCGCTCGCTACGCATACGTACTCGGTCGTCTAGGCTACGCGGACATCACGAGGAGCAGAAGAGAAGAGGAGGAGAGAGGGGGCACGAAAAAAAAGAACGAGCCCAACGTTATCAGCCACGTGGGTGGCGTCGCGAGGCACGAGCCCGACACCATCAGCTACGGGGCAGGCACAGACAAGCACGAGCCCAACGTCGTCAGCTACGAGCGTGGCACAACGAAGCACGAGCCCAACAACACCAACTACGAGGGTGGCACGGTCAAGTACGTGCCCGAAGACACCAGCTACGGTGCCAGAAGGGACGGCAGTGGCGGCCAAGACACTGGGCCGGCAGCGGCAGGGGCGGCAGTGGCAGCTCAGTCGGTGGCAGGCCAGGCTGTGGCGGCAGTGGCAGCTCAAGGTAGTGGCAGTTCAGGCAGAGGTGGCAGTTGCAGGGGCGGCAGTGGCAGCTCAGTGGCAGTGGCGCCAGTGGCAGCTCAAGGCAGTGGCATTTCAGGCAGCAGCAGCCCAGGCGCAGAGCAAGAAGCGGCGATGCCTCCCAACCACGACATCCAGGCGCTGCTCGACACGGCATACGAGCTATTCAAAGCACGACGGCCCAGGGGAGCACTCAAGGCACAAAGCAGGTCCACACGCCATGCGGCATCCTGAAATGCAGGACCTGCACGACGGCATAGCTATCTGCCTGAAGGACGGGCAGTGCCACGAGCACCTGGTTGAGGAAAAAAGGCATACATCTATACATACACGTATATATATACATACATACATACATACATACATACATACATACATACATACATACATACATACATGTATATATATATATATATGTATACACACAGCCGAGGAGGAGGAGGAGGAGGAGGAGGAGGAGGAGGAGCAGGAGATGTCTGACAGCGACGCGGGGGACGAGTAGGACGAGGGCAAGGTGTGGGGGGGGGGCAGGCACACGCTGAACAAGCGCAGCGGCGCGCCGCAGGCAAGCCGCGGTGCGGGCAGGGAGTGCGAGAAGGGACGGCAGTAGCGGCAGACGGGGCGAGGCGTGGACGAGCAGGCGTCTTCAGCTACAAACCAGGTCTACGCAGGAAACTTGCTTTACGACGTCGACTGGCGCGACCTAAAGGACCACATGAAGCAGAGCAGGCGGGCAACGTGGAATTCTGCAGAGTGCCCACAGAGGACGGGACCGCCTACGGCAGATCGTTCGGATACAATCAGGTACGCTTCTCCACAGGAACGGAGGCCAATAAGGCCCTAGTCACCCTGGACGAGGCGGAGCTCAAAAACAGCAGTATTCGGGTTCAGATGTGGTCTGGCGCAGAAGGACGTCATCTACCACGTGCGTAGTGTAATGGTGGTGGTTTATTGCGAGACGAGCTTGAATTGCACAACCTGTGATCTGAAGTAAATACTGCCCGGCGCGAGCCCGAGGCAGGGACTGTTGTAGCTGCGTGCGAGAACTTCTGGCAGTGGAGCGGGAGGGCAGGGAACGGAACACGGCGGCCAGGCCGGAGGCCTCGAGCGCCCGGGAGCGGGCCGGCTGTGTGGGGGAGTCCCGACGGACGCGCGAGAGAGAGAGAGAGATGAAAACGACGACGACGAAACCCGCGGGGGAGGTGGGGGAGAGGAGGAGAGGAGAGGAGAAGAGAGGAGATGAGAGGAGAGGAGAGGAGAGATGAGAAGAAGAAAGGAGAGGGGAGAGGAGAAGAGAGAAAAGAGGAGAGACAAGAAGAGATAAAAGAGGAGAGAAAAGAGGAGAGGAGAGGAGAGGAGAGAAAAGATGAGAGGAGAGGAGAGGAGAGGAGAGGAGGAGAGGAGAGGAGAAGATAGGAGAGGAAAAGAAGGAGAGGGGAGGGGGAGACAAGGAGGTGAGGAGCGGAGAGGATTAAAAGAAATGAGACGAGAAAAAGAGGAGAGGAGAGGAGAGGAGGAGAGAGAGAGGAGGGAGAGGGAGGAGAGAGAGGGAGAGAGAGGAGAGGCGAGGAGAGGAGAGGAGAGGAGAGGAGAGGAGGAGGAGAGGGAGGAGGAGGAGAGGAGGAGGGGAGGGGAGAGGAGAGGAGAGGAGGAGAGGAAAGAGTAGAGAAAAGAGGAGAGGAGAGGAGAGGAGAGGAGAGGAGAGGAGAGGAGAAGAGAAAAGGAAAAAGAAATGAGAGGAGAGGAGAGGGGAAGGAAAAGAGGGGAGAAGAGGAGAGGAGAAGAAGAGAGAGGAAAGGAGAGGAGAAGAGAGGAGAGGAGGCAAGGAGGAGAGAAGGAGAAGATGGGGATGGGAGGGGAGGGGAGGGAGAGGGGAGGGGAGAGGACAGGAGAGGGGAGGAGAGGCGAGGAGAGAGGCGAGGAGAGGAGAGAAGAGAGGATGGGGATGGGAGGGGAGGGGAGGGGGGGAGGGGAGGGAGGGGAGAGGGGAGAGGAAGACGGGAGAGGAGGGGAGAGGAGAGAGAGGAGAGGAGAGGAGAGAAAAAGAGTAGAGGAGAGGAGAGGAGAGGAGAGGAGAGGAGAGGAGAGGAGAGGAGAGAAAAGATGAGAGGAGAGGAGAGGAGAGGAGAGGAGAGGAGAGGAGGAGAGGATGGGGATGGGAGGGGAGGGGAGAGGACAGGAGAAGAGAGGGGAGAGGAGAGGAAAGGGAGGGGAAGAGAGAGGAGAGGAGGGGAGGGGAGGGGAGGGGACGGAGGGGAGAGAGGCAAGCTAGGTGCGACAGCATCACATCTGACGTCCTACCCCTCCCTCCCATCCCTTACCATGGCATAGATCTCTTTTCGCACAGTCGGATGTCAAGCAGGGCAATGATCACAAGAGGGTACGCGATGGATGGAAAAGCATGGCGTAGAAGAGCACGGCAGAGCATGGCTTGTCATGTCATAACATGGCGTGGCATTGCATAGTGCAGCATTGCATCACAAAGCATAGCAACGCAAAGCATGGCATCGCGCAGCGGTGCACAGCACAGCATCGCAGTGCATATCGTGGCATGGCACCGGATGACTTGGAGGAAGAGTGACCCGTCAACGAAAAGACAGGGACTGTCCGGAATGCCGGCTCCGTGTCCTCCGCAACCGTGCCTGCCCGATGTGGGCGCTTTCGAATGCCAAGTGCCGTCTGGAGGCGCGGGAACGAGGCCAACGCTGCAGCGAGAGCACCGTGTTGAATGACCAAAGCACGGAAATGAGGGCGGCGCTGCAGCGGGAGCACCATTTTGGAAAACAACAGAAACGACCATCTTGAAAAAACACAAACGAACAAAAAACAACAACAAAAACAAAAAATGGAATCCTGCGTGTAGAAAACAATACGCGGAGAGGACGGCACACTCGCCAGATAGAGTCAGGGGAGAGAGAGGAGAGTAGTGTTCATATTGCGCAATTGTGAAGCATGAGGGGACGGCAGGGGAGGAAGGAGAGGGGGGGAGGACGGCGACGACGGCGAGGGCTGCCTCCCGCGGTGGTCCACCTGCCGCTCGTACTCGGAGGGCAGGGGCTTGCTGCCCTGCGCGCACCCCGCTCTCGCACGCCCGCCGTGCCAGGGAGGCCTCCCAGAAACAAGGGCTGGAGCAGACAGGGTCGGAGTTACAGTCAGCTCGTAGAGTACAGCGGAGGCCAGCCCACAAGAAACCCAACCCTGAGACACCATGACGTCCATTGATTTTTGGTGTGGGAACGCCACGCTCTCCATAGCAGAACCATCGCGACCCAAGAAACCCAGGGCACCTTGGAGGCGAGCAGGCTGTTTCTCGGCATGGGCTTCCACTGTAAGGATGCGCGGTGAGGATACAAGGGCCTTGGACGCCCATGCCGAAGCTCTTCGAGCGGGGCTGGCCATCGAAAGTGGTTGAGGATGGACCGAAGATGACCGAAGAGGCAAGGATGCAAAGGTACCCTTGGGAAGTCGATCATCCCTACTATGCGGGTTGACTGTACGTTCGATTTCTATGCAAGCCTGTCTGAATCACGATGCTGGCGGATTAGCGGCAAATAGCGTCAAATAGCCGCCAATAGCAGCAAATAGCGACAACCGATCAGCAGCAAATAGCGGCACACACCCCGCGCCAACCGTCCACCAATCACCCCCCACTCGCCGCTCGTGGATGCCAATAGCGGCTAAACGCCACCCGAAAAAAACGTTCGGCAGAATTCAAGGCTTTCACTTGATTGAGCAATTTGAACAACCATAAATAATTCCACAATTAAGTATAATTCTTTCGTTTTATACACATACACACTAATACTAATAATAATGATGATTACAGTACTAATAATGGAAGCACTATTACTAACAATAATAGTAATGATCATGATAATAATAATGATGATAATAATAATAACAATAAAAATAAAAAATAATAATAACAATAATAATAATAAAAATAATAATACGAATAATAATAATAATACTAAAGAGACTAAGGATAATCTGAAGAAGACAGACTATTCAAACAGGAAAAATAAAAATGCCAAATCGCCGATGCATTCGGCGAGGCATCGGCGACGGCGGGATCAGGGTCACCTGACTTCGCGTGTCGCGCCTCCCGATGCGAGACGCGCGGTTATCCGAGCGCACCCGCGAGGCCGCCCTGGAGAAGAACGCCTGTCCAGCCCAAGCCGCGGGACGCAAAACGCAATTATCTTCGCGCCAGGGGGGGGGGCCTGAGGGATGGAGAAGAGCGAGCGAAATCCACATCGCGCCACTATCGCCGATGCATCGCGTGGGCATCGATCCCGGACATGGCGCTCAGCAAAGCATGGCTCCTTCGGTCGGCAGTTCCGCCGGCTTTGTCGCGCCTCCGCGGCCATCTCTTCCCGTCCGCCCGCTCAAGTGTGCTTAATGCCCGGCGCGGCCCGGCAGCTCTGCAGACGCGCCTGCGACCGCCAGCGCTGCCGACGACCAAATAGAGGTGTGGGTCTGCAAGGTCTCTGCCTTTCGGCTCCTTCCTCGGGACCTCGAATGCACCTGCCTCTTTTTGTTTTGCCGCACGCTGCGGCCACCGGATCCCTTTTTCGCCGCCTGCACGCGCGCGCCTGCCCACTGTTGGCTGCGAATCGTTCACAAGCCTCGGGCTCTGAGCAGTCCACCTGCACACGGGATCCCACTTGCGCTCGCAGGCGCCCGCCGGCCGCGCCGACTTCGGCACACCCCTCGCACGTTCTGTGGCTCCACAGGGAGCTCCACCGAGGCCCCAGCGGCTGCGTGCGCATGCACCCGCCACACCCATGTCGGCACACCCCTCACTTGCTTCGCGGCCCCATGAGGAGCTCCACCGAAGGCCCCAGTGGCTGCGTTCACTTGCACACTCCGCACCGATTTCGGCACACCCTCACACGCTTCGTGGCCCCGTTGGGAGCTCAATCGAAGGCGGTTGTTCCGCCTTTCCCGCAATGCTGGGCGCAAGTCGCTCGGACGCATCCCGTGCATGCTCTCGCGGCAATCACGTGACTTCGCCGGCGGAGGAAGAAGGGCGGGTTCTGGTGCTGGCGCGGGCGCGGGCGTGGGCGCGGGCGCGGGCGCGGGCGTGCGTGGGGGGGGGCGGGGGGGGAAAATGCGCGTGCGCATGCGTCTCTCTCTCTCTCTCTCTCTCTCTCTCTCTCTCTCTCTCTATATATATATATGTGTGTATATGTATCCTTTGTTTGTTCTCTCTCTCTCTCTTTCTCTATTTCTCTCTCTCTCTTTCTCTCTCTCTCTCTCTCTCTCTCTCTCTCTCTCTCTCTCTCTCTCTCTCTCTATATATATATGTATATCTTTCTCTCCCTCTCTCTCTCACTCTCTCTCTCTGTCTCTGTCTCTCTCTCTCTCTCTCTCTGTCTTTGTATATATGTATACAAAGATCATACATGTAACATACACGTATATATGTGAGTTTCCCTCCCTATACCTCTCTCTCCCCCTCTCTCCCTCCTCCTTCGCTCCCTCTCTTTTTGTTTCCTCTCGCACTATGTCTCTCTCCCTTTTTCTCTCTCTTTCTCTTTCTCTCTCTCTCTCTCTCTTTATCTCTCTCTCTCTCTCTCTTTCTCTCTTTCTTTTTCTTCTCTCTCTCTCTCTCTCTTCTCTCCTCTCTCTCTTTCTCTCTCTCTTTCTCTCTTCTCTCTCTCTCTCTTCTCTTTCTCTCTCTCTCTCTCTCTCTCTCTCCCCCTCTCTCTCGATATATATATATATATACATATATATATACATATACATATACATATACATATACATATACATATACATATACATACACGTATACACACATATATATATATATATATATATACATATATATATAAATATATCCGGAGCGAGCGCCGCAAGTCCTGACAATCGCAAGGCAGCGAGCGAATGAGGATCGAAGCGTTCAGCGGAGTGCCAGATGCATTACGTCGGCGGACGAGAGTGCCCGCTTCCGAACGGCGCGGAAGGCGGGCTATGCCTTCCTCCACTTGCGCGCAGAACAGAAAGAAGGACCCCCCTCTGGAGCAGTTCGCCCCGACACGCCATAGCAAGGACCCCAAGGCCGCGCGCCCTGAGAACACTCGCGTGCGCGCCCCTTCGCACGCGGCACACACTGGCGGGCCCCGAGGGCTCCCTCGCGCGCGCCCGCTCGCGCGCGGCGCACTCTGGCGCACCCCGAGGGCGCTCGCGCGAGCGCCCGCTCGCACGCGGAGCTCTCTGGCACGAAGGCACCCCCGTGCGCGCCCGCCGGCACGCGGCGCACGCTGGCGCGCCAAGCATTTCCGCGCGCGCAAGCTCGCACGCGGCGCACTTTGACGCGCCCCAAGGGCGCTCTCGCGCGAGACCGCTCGCACGCGGCGCACTCTGGCGCGCCCCGAATGCACTTCCGCGCGCGCTCGCTCGCGCGCGGCGCTCTCTGGCGCGCCCCGAGGGCGCTTCTGCGCGCGCCCGCCCGCTGGCGGCGCTCTTTCCCGACGTCTTCCCACGCAGCCCCCCCCCCCCCCAGTCCCGCGCGTCGCCTGCGCAGCGACTGCAGCCAACCTCTCCCCACCCAGCCCCCACCGCCACCACCGCCAGCACCACCGCCGCCACCACCACCCACCACCACCACCACCACCACCACAACCACCACCACCACCACCACCACCGCGCGGCGGCGGCGTCGCAAAACGCCCGCGTTTGCGACGCCGCGGCGCCGCATCCGCATGACGCCGGCGCGCCCACGCGCGTTCACTACATGCGCGGCGCCAGCCTGCACGGCGCAACGCGCCGATCACCTCACGAACGCCGCTTGCCGAGAACGCCGCTGACGCAACGCGTCGAGTTTGACCGCGCGCTCGAGCGCTGCCCGGTCGCGCGAGGAAGCGCCGCGCGCGGACCTCAGCGCGAGACGCTGGATTGGCGCCGCGCTCCGACCCCACCGCGAAGCGCTGCGTTCCAAGATTGGACCAACCACGCGACGCGCGAGCCCCCGACTGCGCGCGCGAGCGCTAACCAGGCGAGCAGGAAAGCTGCCCGGCGCCGCGCGCCGACCCCAGCGCCAACAACGCGGCCGCAGATGACGTCTTCACGCGCAGCCCCGCCCACCCCCCGCGCGGTGGCGGCGGAGCGATAAGCATGCATTTGCGACGCCGCTACGACGCATCCGCAGCAGCGCAGCGCCGCGCCCGCCCATCACCAGCCGCGCAGCGAGGCGCATCAGCAGCAGCGCTGCGCAGCGACGCATCCGCAGCATAAGCATGCACGCTCGCACCCGCCCATCACCAGCCGCGCAACGAGGCGCCACCCCTCTCGGCGCCACGCGCCGACCACCGCGCGAACATCGTTTGCCGAGAACGATGCCGTCGCCACGCGACAAGTCATCCCGCGCGCGCACAATCGCCGGCCAGTCGCGCGCGGAATCGGACTGGCGCCGCACGCCGACCCCAGCGCGATACGTTGCACTCCGAGGTTGGGCACCCCATGCGACGCGCGAGTCTTCGCCTGCGCGCGCGCGAGCGCCATCAAGGCTAGCAAGGAAGCTGCTTGGCGCCGCGCGCCGACTCCAGCGCAAGAAGTTTCGTCGCCGAGCCAGTCGCCGACGCGGCGCACCAGAAGTCTGCGTGGCGCCACGCGCCGACCCGAGGGCGAACAACGTCGTCGCCGAAGTTGCGCTACTGCGCCACAGCGCATGGCGCGACGCGCGATCGACGCATGACCAACGGGTCTTCACTCGATTCTCCAATCGGGGGGCGACGCAGCGACGCTCTTCATCTCGGAGCGACCCCCCGCGGATGCAACGCCAGCACACCCCACCCTTGCAAATGGGCTGCGCACGTGAGGATGGAGCTTCCTCCCGGGCGCAGCCGAGGCAGGGCGGGGGGGGCCACCACCACCACCACCACCACCACCGCCACCACCACACACACGCGTTTGTAGGGAAACAGGAAGCGCGCGCACACTCCACAACAGTACTCTTTTTCTCTCTCTCTCTCTCTCTCTCTCTCTCTCTCTCTCTCTCTCTCTCTCTCTCTCTCTCTCTCTCTCTCTCTCTCTCTATATATATATTTATCTCCCTCTCTGTCCCTCTCTCTCTCTCCATCTATCTCTCTCTCTCTCTCTCTCTCGCTCCCTCTCTATCTCTCCCTTTATATTTCTCTCTCTCTCTCTCTCTATCCCTCTCTCTCTCTCTCTACACGTATCATGTGTATGTATGTATGCATGTATGCACCTCCCCACCTTCTAGGTCGGCCCAGAGCTCCTGCCACGCAGGACGATTACGAATATACGTTTCCACTTTTTCACGCAGCAAGCGAGCTATACACTCGAATCCTTCCGAAGCGAGGCAGCACAGACAACTCGCGAGGAAAGAAACGCAAAGGCATTGCACAAAAGACGCTCCAGGGAGGCAGCGGGAGGGAAGACTTGAGCGAAATAGTTTACAGATACGCGGGCCTCAACGAAGCGAGAAATACAACAATCAAACATTAAACACACCTCTCCACCTTCTAGGTCGGCCAGGAGCCCCTGCCACGCAGGACGATTACGAATATCTGCTGCCACTTTTTCACACAGCAGGCGAGCTAGACATTCGAATCCTTCCGAAGCGAAGCAGCACAGACAACTCGCGAGGAAAGAAACGCAAAGGCTTTGCACAGAAGACGCCCCCATATCACAAGCATTCACTGGAGGCCCTCTTGGAACAACTAAAAGATACAGGCATCCGCTGCCGCAGCCCGACGGGCAAGGTCCGCGGGGAGGCGAGCTGCTTGCTGAAGGAGCCGACCGCTCTTTTCGCACCGCTTCCCGGACTTAGGATGGGCCCATCGGCCCCGTTTCTGAACTACAGCAAGACTGCGAGACCCCACGAGAACGTCATGACTATGAGCAGAGTGTCTGGCCACATGGGGTGTCAGGGGGCCTAGCTTGCCAAGGAGCGAACAGCTAAACTTCCTAAAGAGAGCTTCATACTCAGCCAAGGTTAGGCATGGGAAAACAAAGTCGTCTGAGCTGGCGTTTGTTCCACTACGCCGAGCCCACATGTCCAGCACAGAGCCAATCCACTCACGGCTTGGCGAATTGAGCACGACCGTGTCGTCGCTCTCGCCGGTCTTTGTGGTCTCGCCGAGGTCGGAGTTCCCAATGACCACGGCCCATCTTGCACGAGCCAGTCTTGAAGTGAGCGCAGACGGTCGAACCACTGAACAGCAGCGCAGCTCGCAGATCTCGGAGGGTCTCAGGTAGGCGTCCAGCTGGGTGGCGAGGGCGACCGCAGCGTCCACGTGGCCGCTCTTCAGGAAAACGACCATGAAGAGGAAGAAGACGCAAAGCGGCCAAGGATGTCGAGAAGACCCTGGGAACCGTCGAACCCAACCCTTCATCGCCTCTCCGGACATCACGAGCCGGGCGGACTTGGCAACGTCGGCCCGAGGGAAGAAGGTCAGGAAACACCAGAACGCGTATCGCCCCTCAGCAGGATGTCGGGTGTCGCTCATGAGGTCATCAAAATACTTGCACATCAACTGATCAATCTTGGATTCGGAGGCCCACTTGAGATCCACTGCGCGCGTGGCCAGTCGAAGTCTCGAACAGCAGCTCCATATCGTTCCGAGGAGACCGCTGCGATAGATCCAAAACGTGCAACACCACCATCGACAGGAACTGGGGCTCGAGGCCCAAAGGTGAGGTTCCTGCCCTTGATGGCTTCCACGAAGTTACAGGCGCGGGAGCGCCGGCCAGCGGCCTTTCTGGCCTCTGAGGGCGCGGGCCGCTTGCTTCCGAGCTGCCTCGAGGTTGGAGTCCTGGCCGAAAATGATGCACGGCCGGAGGTGATCGCACCTGCTCTCGAGGGTGTTCGGGTCGGCGGCTGCGACAAGCCCGAGGTCAGGTTCCGCCTGAAGCCGTCGCCGAGCCGGTCGGAGGCGGCCGCGAGCGCGCGAAGCCGGCCGTCGCACAGCATCGCGTAGCCGAGCTTGCAGGTCACCGTCGTCTGGAGCCTCAGGACCGCCTCGAGCGCCCGCAGGCGCTGTCATGGAGGGGGCGCGTGCCCATGCTGCACAAAGGGCGCGAGGATAGACTCCAGCGCCTGCAGTTCGGTCGCGAGAGACCCGAGCCCCCGATGGCAAGGTCACTGATTCAAAACCCCGCAACACCACATGAACGTGATCTCTTGAACATACAGAAGCCAGAGACGACAAAGCAAAGAAATTCGCGAGGAGCGCCGTCGGTTTCAGGTGCGAGGCCCCATAACTACAGTGCACGAATAGCACACGAAAGACATCGGGAAGACCTGTAAGCTCCCGCACAGGGTCAAAGTCCCAGAGCCTCGAGGATCTCGGGTTCTCAATACTCCAGAAAACTCCGTTTCGTGAACATTCGTAGGCCACACGACAACTGAACAGAGCCAGAGCGACACCGATACTTCTTTCTGACGAACTTCATCATGATCTTGCATGTTGTGCCGAGCCCGAGACCAGACACAACACGGGGCACCCATATGTATATACCAAAAGAGCCCCCTCCGAATACCTTCTAAGATGATGAGCTGGACCGCGGGAACCAAGAGGTCATAGCGGGGCCCATCTTTGATGTCCATGCAAGGGAACGTCCTCAGGTTGAGCTCCTCGAAAGCCTCCGAGACCCGCCCTCCCCCGAGAACAGCTCCAGGAAGCCCTGGCCACGTCGGGCCCGCCTCAGAAGTTCAGCATGTCCCAGGCGAAGAGCGGGGCCGGCAGTTTGAGTAGTCGCCGAAGGCGTAGACGTGGATGACGGGCAGGACGATCGATGAGATTGATCGGCGCACGACTCTCGAGGCAGCACTTCTGGCACTTCATTGCTCTCGACATCGGCGGGCGGATGCCCTGCGAAGCCGAGTCCAGGAGGCAGGGAGCCTATCTCCACTATCTAGCCAAGGGAAGAACGAGAGGGGGAAGATGTTGAATCGTCTGTCAGATCCTGTTGGAGGTCGCCTTTGTTGGGAGAGGTCCGCTCGAAGCGACGAGACGGTTCGTCAGCAACGTTGAACTTTGCGTTGACATACCGCAGCCTCCAACGCACTCAACATCCGATAGCGCAGGCCGCCGCGCGTCGGCATTGTGCGCTCAGGGCTGCTGAGCGGCTAGACCGCCCCTTATCCAGGCAGCCAACACAGACCATGGAATCCACAATTGAAACAAGGCGGCGTCCGCAATTGCGGCGGACGCGACAGGCATGTCGGAGCCCCATCACAGCAGCGCGGGTCTCCTTCACATTGATGTGCTCGCCTGGCCAGCGCCACCGCTCCGAGGCAACCAGCCTAAAGCCCTCAGGGTCGAACCACGAGGCCGGAAGCGGCGGCGCCAGAGGGCCCACCTCCAGCATGGCGTCATCGCCATCGGCACAGCCGCTGCCATGGCGTCGAGCCCGGCGAGGCCGGGCGCGAGGACGGCCAGCTGACGGTGAGCCGTCCTCCGCCTTGGCCTGCATCCACTGGCCGAAGGCGGTCGCCGGGCCAGCGCCGCTGTAGGGCGAGGAGGCTGGACATCGGAGCCTGGCCTCGCCGCTGCTCGTACCTGCATCCTGAGGCTCGCAGCGGAGGTCCGTCGTGCCGTAGCCCCCCATGTCAGCGACATCCGAGGGACAGACCAGGCCGACGCGAGGACCTCGAAGATGCTGTCGGAAGCTCCACTGCACCCGAGATCGGCGGAGTCGCTGGCGCACACGCGCGGCGCGTAGGGCGCCGCCAGGTCCACCTCCGTCAGCCACACAAGGCCCACCACGATGCGCATCTCCTGCTTGACCTCCCGGGGCAAAGCGGCGCGCTTGCCCCAGGCCGACTCCGCGAACCGGCAGGCGGAGGACAGCGCGGCGTAGCCTGGCCGGGCGAGCATCAACAGAGAGATCGCGTGTCCCAACCAGACCTCCATGTTCTCGCCACGCATCTTGCCTCGTGCTAGCAGGGCCCGAGTGGCCAAGTCAAACCTCCAGATGCGAGAAGCCTTGTTGCGGAGGCGCCCGTGCTTGAGGTCGAGCTCGATCCCCACCGTCTCCAGGTGGGTGACGACGTCCGGGCAACTCCAGCAGATGGGCAGCCCGCATCGGTCGGCCTCCCCTTCGAGAGCTGAGCTGGCCTCGCGAGCCAGGGTCGCCGTCCTGCCGACGACCGTGATGTTGTCGACGTAGACGCTTCCCAGCACATTCGACTCGTTGAGGTCGGGCGCAGGGCGCCGCTCCTTCACCATGGCCGGCTCGGCCGAGGAGCTAGGCTGGAGAGCCCGACACGCCATCGAAGAGACCGCCTCTTGGGCAAAAAACAAGGCCCACGACCAGCCCATGCACATAGCCCGCATGCAGGGGTAGAGGACAACGTCATCGTCCGCGTGGACCATCTTATTCAAGTCCGGGTCCCAGAAGGCGCCCACGGTGATGCCGCTGGCGCCCCGAATCGCGGCGACCGGCAGCGGGTCGTCGAAGCCGAACCAGTCCGACAGGCCGTCGATCGCAAAGTTGTAAAAACACTCCTCCACGTCAGCCTCGTCCCCACGGGGGTCCCAGCCGACAACGCCACCGACGCCGTCGAAGGAGCCATCCCCAACAGAGAAGTCGAGGTCTGCAAGGGCGCCTGCCGACCCAAGTCGGGCGGTCGGAGGCGCGCGGTGGCAAGCGTTGGCCTGCCTGGCGTCCACGATCATCCTGATCTCGCCTGGTTTCTTCCTCTTCACAGGAAAAAGGGCTGCTCGAGCCCGCAGACGGCGTCTAAAGGTGATGAGTCCCAGCTCGCACAACACCCTGAACAACCGCCAACGCCCTAGACGACTGGAACGAAGAACGGGATCCCAATAAGGCTTGATGGGATGAGTCGTCTGGCGCATGAACTCCATCTCTCCCACATCTTTCTCGATATACGGAGCTGGTTGGCGGAGCATCTCCGCCGCCGAAGGTGGTAAGAAGTTGGCCACAGAGCGTGGCCGCGCACGTCCTTTCGCTACCTTGAGCTTTGTCAGGTCGAACGCTGCGAGGTGCTTCGGCCCCTAACTGCACAGGTCCTCGGTGGCCAGCAGCACACGCGCGGCCCCCTCGGCCGTGAGACCTGGAGGGGGGGGCCCCACTGCGTCGACGCGCTCCACGATGCTGTCCAAGACCCACTCCTGGACTGCGGTCGGGGCCTGAGCTGAATGCCGAGCCTGGCAAAACGAGTCCGAATTCGGTCGAGCAGCAGCGAGGTGGTTGAGCGAAGCCCGTGCCTGGCAAACCCGCCGTTGCTGCTCGTGACGACCCCCAAGCTTGTCAGGCCGAGGGCCCGATGCGGCAGAGGGAACGGGTCCCCATGCCTACGTCTTGAAGGAATCCACCGGGTAGAATGTCCCCGATCGTGATAGACAGCACCGGGCTGAGCTCGAGGATCAGACTCAGCCCGGGAGGCGCTGTTCACCCCGGCGCCGGCTCGTCACCCTTGCCGCCACCACCGCCGCCGCCTCGACCCCGACCACGCCCTCGGCCACGCCGGCGGCCCCGACCTTTGGCATCGGGGTCCTGCGGTCCACGCGAGACCTGCAGGGCGCGCTGCTCCTCTTTCCAGAGGCGGGTCTGCTTGAAAATGGCGGCCTGATCCTTGAGGCGGCTCGTCACCCACTCCGTGAAGTTGTTGGTGCTGGCCTGGCCCTGCTCGGTCGTCGGGGCGCGCAGCACGATGTCCAGACCTCCGTTGTCTGGGCGTCTCGGACTACGAGACACGGCGGTCTCGCCCTGGCATATTCTCCGCATGATCAACTCAAGACTCACAAGATTCGTAACGTCGAGCTGGTCAGTCTCGATGGCTAGGCGGACTGCTTCACACAGAACGTAGTGCATGTGGGCCACCGCTGAGAATTCACTGACCCTTGAGAGCCGCACCCACTGCCCACGATAAGAAGTCAGGTCGCCAGGGCCGTTCCGAACTGACGTGAGCCATTCCTTAGCAACTCTTGGCCCTGGCATGATCCAATCGTCGAACGTCGTCTCGCGCATCAGAGAGACTGCCTCACTCAACGCGAGGTGACGACGTCCCGAAGCATCACGATGATCTCCCAAAACTCGCAGATCTCCTGTACCAGACTTACGAGAAGCCTTCCAAGCCTCCAACTGATTCGTCTGGATCCACTCAACAAAAACCTCCATGCCGTTGACCAGGGCGACGACCTTGGACTGGCCAAGGATGGCCTGCTGAACCTCCGGGTCGGACAGGACTTGGGCAAACCTGAGGCGATCTATCTCCGCGATCACCCAGGCATTGTTCTCGATCTCCATCTCATGATCGTCGTCGCCCAGAATGGCGGCCTGCACAGCGGCCTGGCGCTTGAGGGCGAGGAGCTTAGCCCGAGGCACTGGATCAAACCCGTAAGTCTGAGCACGCTGGGCTGCTGGAAACATGGAATTCCTATCCAAGACTATGTGGCGCTGCTCGAGGAGACTGCGTCGAACCAGCTCGAGATCCGGTGTGATCGCAATCCACGCCCCAGCCGTGATCTTCTTGGCCAGGATGCGATGATGACAGATCACTCTTCTAGCATCATCGGGATAATGTACCAGCACTTGGGGTTCTGGGATGTCCAAAGTGCCCATCTCTGATGCCGTTCGTCAGCTGGGCTGAAGACGCAACAGGCGCCGCTGGAGTCGACGCCCCTGGTCCTCCGAGGACTCGAAGTCCCTGCGTCGCGAATACCCTGATGAGATGGAACACACCGATAAAGACCCAACTTGCGATCACTTCGATGACAATGCCGATGGTCAGCCAAAAGCCCGAGGCGCTGTCAGGATCCTGCGAGGCCGGGCACTCGCCTGTCGGGGCGGGCGCCGAGACTGAAGCAAGACCTCCGCACGCACAGGAAGGGCAGGCAGGGCACGCAGGACAGGAGCCGCACGTCACCGAGGGAATTGTCGGGCAGGCGGGCACTGACGGGCAGGGCGGCGCCGCTGGGCACCTGCCGAGGTAGGATGGCAAGCTGTCGGCTGCTAGATCCTGGAGGCGCTGCTGCCACATCGGCCTTTAAGACTTGAGCGAAACGGGCCTCAACGAAGCGAGAGATACAACAATCAAATATCAAAAATATGTTTGTATGTATGTATGTATGTATGTACATCCCAGTTACGAAAGTTGATTCATCTTGGCTAAAATTGACATGTGTGGGCGCTGTGGTGAGAAGTGGTATGGGAGTGATTCTTCCTTGTGGTTTCATATGGGGAGAGATTCAGAGTTGCCTGGAAGTGACCAGGAGTGATTTCTCCCCTGTGAATTTACGGGGGAGAGATTTTATCCTGAATTGGTTATATACCCAGGGAGAACCCCGGAAATCTCCCCCGCCAAGCCAGGCCGAAGACTGCCGTGCTAGGAGTCCACGGGGGGAAGGGGGGGCCACTCGGAGGCGCCCTAGTCGTCAGTGCTCAAGATGAATGACTTTCATATCGGGCAAGCGGTATCTTACATTGCACTTCTACAAGGGTGAGACCAGCGCCACCCCTTGACAGCAGCGCCTTTGGCCGCCACAACGCGCTTGCACGTGCCCCGCAGACCCTTGGCAACGTTGCCTGCCACGGTCTGCGACTTCGCCGACTTAATCAGCCGCCTCACGCGCGCCGTGTAGGCCATCTTGCCCAGGACGGGACGTTTCGCCAAGG